TAGGGCTGGGTATGTGGATAGTCATTGTTTAAATCTGGTTTTGTCATGGAATACCTTTTTTTCTCCATCTACGTTAATTAAAAGTTTTCCTGGATATAGTAGTCTGAGCTGGCAATTACATTTTCTTAGAGTCTGCATAATGACTGTCCCAGGACCTTCTGGCTCTGAGAGTCTCCATTGAGAAGTCAGGTGTTATTCTGATGGTCTGCCTTTATAGGTTACTTGACATTTTTCTTTTCAGCTCTTAATATTCTTTCTTTATTCTGTATGGTTTGTGGCAAGGGGGCTTTTTTGTTTTTTGTTTTTTCTTTTCTTTTTGGTTGTTGTTCCAGACTATTTGGTGTTCTGTAAGCTTCTTGTATCTTCATGGGCATTTCCTTCTTTAGGTTTGGAAAAGTTTTCTTCTTTGGTTTTGTTGAATACATTTTCTGTGCCTTTGAGCTGGTATTCTTCTTATATCCCTATTATTCTTAGCTTTGGTCTTTTCATGGGAATCACAGAATTCCTGGGCATTTTGTTTTATAACTTTGTTGGCTTTAATGTTTTCTTTGACTGATGAATCTACTGTATCTTCAATGCCTGAGATTAGCTTTTCCACTTCTTGCATTATGTTGATTATGCTTGCATCTGTAGTTCTGTTATTTACCAGATTTTCCATTTCCAGAATTCCCTTTGTTTATGTTTTTTTATTGCCTCCATTTCGGTTTTCAAGTAGTGAACGCGTTTGTTTTTTCTTGCTCTTCTTGATTTTGTTTAAGCGATTTATTGATGTCTTCCAAATTATTGTTTGTCTTTTCCTCCAATTCTCTAACTCTTTATTTCTTCTTAAAGAGCCTCCCTCATCTTGATAAAGTTATTTTTGAGATAGTTTTCTTCTGAGTTGAGATGATCATGTCTTCCTGATGTAGTACCACTAGGTTCTGGTTTTGCCATATCGCTCTTTAGGTTGTTGAATGTATTGCATTGACCTCTACCCATCTCTTCTTCCTGTTGGCGCTGGCAGTGTCTTTGTCTCTGGATCAGATCCTGTCAGTCCTCTCTCTCTCTCGGTCCTCTCTGTAAATGTCTATGTCCCAGAGGTCCTGACGGATAGGTTGATTTTAGGGGGAGTAAGGGGACTATTTGTATAGCCCGCCTGCAGGAGTTTTTCCTGCTGACCTGCTAGTGTGGCTGAGATGAGCTGGGGGTGGGGGCAGTGGTTTTGAGAGGCTGTTTGATCCAGATGGGAAGCTGGTCACTCACCTCTCAGTCCTCTCTGTGCAGGAGATCCACTTGTTTGCTTTTAAACTAAGATACCAGAACAACGGGATTTGCAAGAGTTAGTGCCTATCAAAAGGAATCTTCTAGTCATTTTTCCCAGTAATGCTGTGATGGATGGCACAAATACTCCCAGCCTCCTCCTCAGGATGCGTTTGAAGACAATGAGGCAGTTGTTAAATTTCTCCAATAACTGGTTATAAATCTTATGGCTTGGAGACATTTTTTGACATTTAGGAACAAGAAGTCTGTTTAGCTAAGAGTGTTTGGGTACAAGTATGACCAGCTAATATTTAAAAGTATACTGGGGGAAAGCATGGGACAGATGTTCACTTAGGTTCTTCTTAAATAGGATCAAATCTCATTAAAACAAATGCTCACTGAAGCTACAAACTCACAGCCACTCAGTGGACCCATGAGCATGGACCCCTGTCTCAGGGTCCAGAGCAGGACTCTGCTATGCTTGGACATTTTGGGGGAAGAAGAAAACTGGTCACAAGGGGAGTATTCTCTACCCTGCATGATAAGGATTTTTAAAAGTAAATGAATAATGCATTCCTCAGACACCCAAGGACCTAGCAGAGGCAAGCTGGCACTAACCCTGAATGCCTCAGTTTTTCCACTTCACTTATACCAAAATATATATGTCAACTTTAAAATAATAACTTCCTCATGGAATTTCAGATGGCTTTAAAAGAGTCCTACAGGCTGTTATCAGGGATCTTGTGATGCTGCACATCACCAGGGCCTGACTTCCCAAAGCAAGGCAAGACAGACTGGTGCCTATTTCAGAGTCTTCTTCTACCAGGTTGTTATATGGCACTGAAGTGTCTCTCAGATATGTCCCTACAAATGCACTGGGTCCAATTACAATTTTAGCATCTTGGCAAAACTAAGATGATTCACAGCTAGTGGTTTGTATTTGTTTCCCAAATAGGATTATATTCTATAGTTTAGGCAAGCCTGGAATTCACTGTATAACCCTGGCTGGCTTCAAACTCATGGCAGTCCTCCTGCCTCAGCTGACTATAAACATGAGCCCATGTGCCAGGCTTCATAAACCTGTTCCGTTGATGTGGAATATTATTTTAAGATGTGTTACATTTGTGTATGCTGTGAAATATTTGTTTAATGATACAAAGATGTGTGTCATTCTTTTATGTTGCATTCGTTTAATTCCGTGAAGCTGTGTTACTTTGTCTGCCGAAAATACCTGATTGGTCCAAAAAAGAGCTGAACAGCCAATAGATAAACAGGAGAAAGGATAGGCAGGGCTGTCACGAAGAGAGAATAATTAGGAGGAGAAATTTGGGAAGAGAGTATAAGGGAGGGAAAGGAGGAGGAGAGGAGGATATGAGGGCTCAGCCACTCAGCTACACAGCAAGACACAGAGTAAGAAGTAAAGAAAGGTATAAAGAAATGGAAAAAGATAAAAGCCCAGAGGCAAAAGGTAAACAGGATAATTTAAGAAAAGCTGGCTAGAAACAAGCCAAGCTAAGGCCAGTCCAGTCATTCATAAGACAGAACAACTCGCTAACTCTTAGGATATGTATTTGTGACTAAACAGGGGCTAAGCAGCTGAGAAAATAGCAAAAAAAAAAAAAAAAAAGAAGACGACAGTACAGGACTTGGGAAGGACACCCAACCTGAAACAACAGCAGTATTACATTTTGAATATTTTCCCCTTATTCAGAAGGACTGTAGTCCTGAAAAAGCTCAACAGTGATGGAATAGGTATGTTGTCCAGCCCATTTGCCACAGGTGTTTTAGAGTCACTAACCCCCACCCCCCATGCTTATTGTTAGGGAAACCAAACTCACAGCTGAGAGACTCCAGCTTCTTCCTGTTGGGGAAATGATGCTACCATCCTGATACCCACCAGGTCTGGAAGACTGTGGCACTCCTGCAGCAGGTATGTGTTTGGAGGGTACAACGAAAGGCTGCACATAGTATGGCTTGGAAAAATAAGAACCCATTCTCTCATTTCTGGGGGCTACAAGTCTACAGTCTAAAGTTGGGCAGGTTCCAGTTCCCTCTGAGAATTTTGAAGGAATCCCTTCCAGGGCTCTCCCTAGCATCTAGTAACTGATAGCAAGACTTCAGTACCCTTTAGTTTGTAGATTCACCACTCCGTTCCCTGCATTTGTCATCACGCACTATTCTCCTCATATCCATGTCTCCTGTCATATAAGGACACCAGTCAGGGTGGATTTAGAGCCTACCCAACTACAGTTTGACTTTATCATAATTTGATTGCATTTGCAGACTCTTCCCAACTATGTAAGACACAGATGCCAGGACTCAGAACATGAACACGCATTTGTGTGAGACATAATTCGACCCATAAAATATTCAAAGTGACCCACCAGTGGAGCTAGTAAAAGCAGGGGAGAAAGATCAACATGGCACCAAACACATCTAAAGGAAGACTAACACTGTTGTTGCTATGAAACAATAATGAAACGTGTATATCACAAAAAAGAATAAATTTGAAAATGGGGTGAAAACTAAAAAGCAGTGTGTCTCTTATCTTTTATCCATAGACCTAAGTGTTTTACATGCTTGATAAAAGCTTAGACAGGAAGAAAACAGCCACACCTTCAAAGAGGTCAAAAGTGAAGCCAGCGAGTGCTGTCAAGGCCCTGGAGTTCTAGTGTGTTTTTCCCTGTGGACCTACTGTGTTTATCCCTGTGTGGATAGTACAATGAATTATACAAAGGTAGAGATCAAAATCCTTAGCAAAACACCTAACTCATAATTGACAAAGTCCTCATAGTACTGAAAGGGTTATGGTGAGAGTTCAAAAGGGTTCACAGATAGTTAACTGGGGAATGAGGAATTTATTTAAAAAGTTACCAATGGGATGAATAGATAAACAGATAGACAACAGCATGGCTAAGTCTTAGAGGAGAGTTCAGGGTTCCAGCATCAGAAATAGACAGAATATGTGGGGAGCTCACATGGAAGAAGTCAGGGTCTCTTCTTACACCTTTCTGAGTACAAACCTGGAACCAGACACTTCCGATTCACAGGACAAAGGGCAGGGATTGGGGTGTGGAGTAGGATGTGTGGTCATCAAAACTCCTTTGATACAAACTCACTTCCCAGGAGAGAGATCCCAGCATCTAGAAGTGTGACAGCTAGGGGACTCACAGACACCCTGCTTCAGGACTGTTCGAGTTCAACACACTTCTCCCTGATGAAGGAAAGGCAGGCATGCTGTATAGCACCTGCATGGGCACCAGACTACAGAGGGATGATCTCCACAACCTGAGAGAAAGGCACATACCATCAGAAGACATGGGCCTTGTCAGAGGAACCAGTGGTGGGCCCACCTACACCATGGGTCACAGATGTTGTATACATGCTTTCAACTTAATTTAACTGGAGCTAGAAGCCCAGGGCTGAGGAAAATGCCACTGGAATAGGCAACAGAATGGTGGCTTCAACACTGAGGAATCATCAAACAAGACTGCCAAGAGCGCAAAGAGAAAGCTGCAAGTAAACAAACTTAGGGGCTGAAATAAAATATGTCAAAAGGTGAAATGTTCTGGAAGCCAAGAAACAGAAACATCCTCACCATATGATGTTCACAAGCCCCAGTGAGACAATCTGACTTCTGAGTTCATTTTCTTATGACTGTAAGCACAAAACACACTACACACACACACACACACACACACACACACACACACACACACACACACACAGCAGAGGAACCCCACAGGATGAATCTCTCTTACCTTCCAGAGGTCAGGGGACCCTTCTAAAAGTTTTGCTTTTGTGTGACAGTACTTTAGGGCCAACTGCAAGCACTCTGTTCCAAATTCCAAGTCATAGTCACTACACTGGTTACAAAAGAAACAAGAAACAGACATAGAGGAATTAGCAAACTATAATACAATTGGTAAAAACAAAGCAAAGCTAAACAAAACAGTCTTTTATTTAACAAACAACTAAAATATAAAAGGAAGCACTCAGAGAATTAGCAAGCTGGTTAATTATCTGAATATGTTATAGAATAATCCTTCTTGTACCCTAAAAATGAAATAAAATGAGCAAATAAGGAAGTTTAAACCATCACAGGCATCTGGGCTCCCCCAGGTATCTCAGACCATAAAAATATTTATTCCTGTTGCTCATACTTGAAAGTAGGACTGAGGAATTATTATGTTAGAAATCTCCATTTAACAACATACATCTGTAAAATCCAAATCATAGTCTTCCATTTATAACATGACATTAAGCCATCACAGCTATTACTCATTTTAATATTTAGAATATAAATATATCATTCTTAAAACATTCATATCTTTGTTTTTGAACGCAGAAATGGTTCAGACTTTCATGATAAAGAAAAACAAAAACTTCTCAATACAGTAAAACATACCTAACTTTTATATCATGGAAACATCAAAATCACTAAGCAACAATATAATTCACTGAAGCTCTGAATAATGTACCATCTACATAAAGGTAAATAACACATGAATCATGTCCTCAGAGGGAGGCTGACTTCAGGACCGGGCAACATAACATTGTCTGCAGCACTGGAAGAGTATCCGCAGAAAACACACTAGGAAGTTACCTGATTGCTATGGGAGGGCATCAGGAAGGGTCTGTCAGAGGCAATGGTCTCTGGTCTCCAGCTTAACTGAAGATGAGTAACACCATCTAATCAAGCAAAGTCTTGTCAGGGTAAGACTTTTGGTTTTCCAAGTCTATGTTAAGGATGTACCTACGGATCTATGTGAGGATGCACCTATGTGTGAGGATGTACCCGTGTGTGAGGATGCATGGAATACAGGTGTACAGGTTGGTGCTAGGGATCCAAACTTGAATTCTTTTATTATTATTATTATTATTATTATCATCATCATCATCATCATCATCATCATCATCATCATCATTATTTGAATTACAAACAAGATTGAATTACATGACAATCCCAGTTCCCTTCTCCCTCCCTTCCTCCCCTACCACTCCCCCAACAAAAACCCTACCTATCACATATCCTTTTTTCTAATCTACACCTGACTCAACCTTTCTGCTCCCCATGACCTCTGCATTCTTCCTTTTCTTCCCTTCTCATTCTTGTAGCTCCCCAAACTTGAATTCTTATGTTTCTGTGACAAGTACTTTATCCACTGAGCCATCATGTATGGTGAACAGCAACAAGGCATAATAATGAATAAATTATTCAGCACAAATTCCAGAGTTACTTTATTGTACTGGAAGATTAAAAATTCCTCATGTACTCACTCTATCTGGATTTTAGACATAGAGTAAGGGATTACCAGCCTACAATCCACAGGAGGACCCTAAAGGAAACAAACATTGTCCCCTGGAGAAGGGGAAAGGGTAACGATCCCCTGAGTAAATTGAGAGCATGGGAAGAGGGGTTCGGGAGCTAAGAGAATGAGAAGGGAAGAAGGGTGAGTACATGAGGAATTTTTAATCACAGAAACATAAGAATTCAAGTTTGGGGAGCTATGAGAATAAGAAAGGAAGAAGAGGAAGGATGTAGAGGTCATGAGGGAGCAGAAAGGTTGAGTCAGGGGAAGAATAGAAGAAAGGATATGTGACAGGGAGGGTTTTAGTTGGGGGAGGTAGGGGAGGTAGGGAGGGAGAAGGGTACTGGGGTTGTCATGTAATTCAATCTTGTTTGTAATTCAAATAAAAAATGATAAAAAAAAAATCCTCACTGCAGTAGCCCTTGAAATGAATGAAGAAAACAGCCAAATAATCAGGGTATCTATTTCACCCAAACAGTCATGACTCACATCTTCTATTTTTATATCCTCCAGCATAGAATTTGAAGGACTGTTTAAATGCAATATCCAGAGTTGCATTTGATAAGTTAAGGTGAATGTTGGTCGACCTCTGCTTTATACTTTCAACATTTTCACATTATCTGGTAGTATGTGACATGGGGGGGAAGAGCCACCCCATGGTTAAATTCAAACAATGACTAATAGAATCCTTGACTTTTCCCTGACTTATCACACTCCAAAAAAAGAGAGAGAGAGAGAGATCACCCCCTAGCCAACATTGCTGGTGCTCACAAAATGCATAATGAGAAGAGCCCATAGGATGAGTTCCTTCCTGCCCACCCTCACAGGGTGGTGTGGAACACACCGGATGCTATGCTGTTGGCTATGCCGTAGGTAAGTCTGTGGAAAACAGAGAAATATAGTGCAACTATATATGAAATTTACTAAGGAAAAACAGGCTGGGCTAGCTTAGAAACAAGCCTGGACTTATCACTATACAGATTAATATCATATCAGCAATGGGCTTGAAGACATTTAATAATAAAACTTTTCATTAAAAGTGAGTTCAGAAGTCTGTAATCAGTGAAAAAATCTGAATGTCTGCTGTTGAGAATATTAATGAATGCATTCTTTTTACTAAGACATGGAAAGTTACAGCTATGATACGTATTTTTGAGCAAAGGAAAAACAAATGAAGTACCAAATGGGAGCTTTGTTCTTCAGTCTGCCAGAGCTGTGGTCACAGGCTGGGGAAGGAGATTTTGACCTCAGAGAAGTTACACTTTCCTATGAGAACAAGATTGGATGCACTGGCACACTCATATCCATATGCAAAAGGAAGAGACAATGAGGAAACAAGTAAGACCTGGGTGTAAAGCTTGGTCCCAGTCCTGTGGTGACATTGGTGGAACTTTTAGGTTGTACTGCTAGTAGAAGATGTGTGTCCTTGAAGAAGATTTGAAGAAGATAGGGAACTATAACTTCTTCTCCATCTTCATTTCCAGACACCATGAGGGGAGCAGATCCCTCTGCCCTATGTCCTGGAGATTTAACCTCCTGTCCATAACCCCAGAGCAAAAGGGGCAAGAAGCCACAGACTGAAAGCCATGAAACCATTAGATAAATATTTGTTACAGGTAAGTCATTAATGTCATGCTTTTGTCACAATAGAAAATGGACTAACATGTCCCATGCTTGGCCGCTTAATCCTCCAACCACTAACCCAAATCATGACCAAATTAATTAAAACAAGTTTTATTAGTGTACTCAGGCTGTCTCTCCCTAAGGCAGAGCTCAAGAGATCGGCACTGGATGTGGGAAAGAAAGACTTTTATAGTTTAGCAGTAAGGGGTATCCAAATGGGGGATTGGCTGGCAAATAAGTGGGGTCACAGAAACAGAATATAAGCATAACAAGTTGGTCATAATAACAACCTCTTGAAACAAAGGTATGGTTGCCATTTCCTGGAGCAGGCAATACAGAATCATTTGTAGCTGTGGTTACAGGTGGGGCTAGCTTAACTATTGAAAAACAGAACAAACCTAGTTTGTCTTTATCAGATGATAGCTTTTCAATTAATATGGAGGCAGGCTGGTGCATGAGGACCTCCTCAGTAATCCGCTCCCCAGGAAGAAGCCCTCAAACACACCTAGCTTTCTCCCCATTTGTTCCTGTTGCTGTCCACTTTGGCCACTAGAACCAGGCCCCTATTAATCACAGACATTTTCCACTCCCAGAAGAGTAATTCCAGCACCCTTGCCATGTCCCACTTGGTTACATTTGCTCTCTGTCTTTGCTATTTCCTAACTTCCCAAGTATGCTCATATTCCCGTGCTATCAATAGTTACTGAGTAAAAGATAGATAGAACTTTGGATATGTTGTAGTTATGGGCGAAGGGGCAAGCAAATCTGGGGTTGTATGATGAGGCCTCTGTCCTTTCACAAGCCTGAGCCTCTGGACTATGCACTCATCAGCGGAGTCCTCAGAGCTCCAGGAGTTGGGCCAGAGTTGGTTATTTCACTCTCCCTTGTGTTGGCTGGACTTTCTCAGTGATGTCACCAAGTAAATACCTGGAAGAACAACTTAAAGGGATGAACTACTTTGCTCAGGTTCAGGTAGGAAGGGAGTAGCCGAGCATCTTACATTATGACAGACAGGAAGGACAGAGTTAGCCGGAAGGAGCCAGAGCACGATGTAGCACCACAGTATACACAACTTCCTTCAACAAGGGCCCACGTTCCACAGTTCTACCACTTCCTGATACTCTGTGCTGTCCAGTTGGGTCAAGGTGACAGTCAAGATAAACCATCAGAGTCACACTGCTCAGGCTCAGGCTCACTTGACACTTCTTAGCAAAATTTCTCCTTGGTCAGTTTTGGGTTGTTTCTCCAAATGAGGAGACCTATGACCTGAGATTTCTCAATGATAGGAGAAGGGATGTTCAGCGTTTATACATGCTGGAATGGAGTAATAGCTTGGAGGCTCCGTAAAGAGGACCACACATACTTTTCAGGAGGCTACAAGAGATGACGGTCTACAAAACTGGAAGAGAAAAATGAGACAAGAAAAGACATGCGAAATGGAAAGCATATCTACACAAAGGAGTGAGAGAAGGGATTCCAGAATAGGTGTCAAAGGAATCCCAGTGATTATTCTGCAGAGCAGAATGAGGGAACAGACAGGAGGCTCAGCATAAAGAGTATCTGTGGGAGGTCTCAAATAGAATTCTTGTAGACATGAAAATTAGGCATCAGGATAGGCATGAAGGCGTTTTATTTTTGTGGTATTTCCCATGTATGAACCTTCCTGTGACTACTTCTTCCCTCAAAGGATGTAACATTTATATAGTATATTATAAAAAGGGCTATATTTCCTAAAAACAAGTGCTTACTAGTAAGAAGTACAGTTTTATTTCAAATATAGATATCTAATACTTTCAGACCAACCTGATGTTCCAGTTATAAGTTGAAGAGAATATAAAATCTAATCACCTAAATCTAAAATCATATCTATGTATTGCTACTCTATCATAAAATTTTAAATCTGGCTAGCATTAGGAAAAACAGAGGATATT